CCTAAAGATATTAGGATTATTTTTCGAACGTAAGCATTCATTTAAGGCACATTGTAATAGTTTAATAAGTAGTCTAGCTGCCAGGCTAAATGTAATAAAATATCTATCTTCTAACAAAAGCCACGTCCACACTAACACGTTACTAAACATCACTCGACTCACCCTGCTTTCCAAAATTGATTATGGCCTACCTATATATGGACAATGCGCCAAATCTTTCTTGAACGCAATAAGAGGACCATACCATGCAGCTGTCAGATGCAGCCTGAGAGCTTTCAGGACCACACGTACAAATAACTTACTGGCTGAGAGTGGTTTTCCTACAATTGAAGATCGAATAAGTTACGTAAGATGGCTCCAATCACAAATAGTTTTCTCAAATAGTTATACGGTTATCCAGAAAGAAATCAAGAATTTGCGTAAACAACGTCCTAAGTACTCTTCTGCGCTCACATGCTCCAAGAAAGCTCCTTCAAAAGCAATCTTACATCTCACCGGAAACAATCAACCAACACAATCGCCTATAGAAAACTCTTCCATGAAAGTAGAGACTTCTACAGAAAGCAAAAGTGGAAGCCACTATATACAGATGGCTCCAAATCATCGGAAGGGGTGGGATTCGCAGTTGTTAATAAAAATGGATTAGTACTAATTCACGGTATCTTACCCTCAATTGCTACCATCTTTTATGCTGAAGTTCAAGCTATATAATCTGCTCTCAACATTGTCAAAACAACAAAGAACAATACTATTATATGCACGGATAGCCTTTCTGTATTTGATGCCACTAGGTTAGCACCCAACCCTTCGGAACCAAACACTGTTATAAAGGAACTCCTGACACAATTTGGTAACAGAGTCAAATTAATGTGGATACCTGGTCATGCAGGCATAGTTGGCAATGAGTTTGCGGATACCGCAGCTCACCACTCATCACTTTTATGCCTTTCTCAAGCAAAGCCATAGCGAAAGTAGCAGCCAAAGCAGACAGCTGACAAATGGACAAACTACAACCAACCGCAACCGCAATTATCCTTCCGAATTCTACAACTGTAGCAATGAACAGGTGCTTTGTCCGCCTGAGGCTAGGCCATACCAACCTCACACATTCGCACTTAATCAAAAAGGAACCTCCCTCCTCCGCCATGTAAATTTTGCGGAAACGCTACCCTCTCCATCTCCCACATTCTCACCGCTGTCCGCTTCTTACATCTCCCAGAACATCCATTTTCCAAAATCCTAATCCCCTTGCTATTCTTACTAAACCATGTAAAGAACCCATTGAGCTCATCTTTGAGTTTTTTAAAAAAATACATATAGAAAGGCTACTTTAAGAAACCAACATGGTAAATTTAACTTAAGCCGATAGCCCTGGCAGCTAGTACTTTTTATACCCGAGCGCACTTGTGCACAAGGGTATATTAATTTTGTTCACATAACGGTTGTTTGTACAAGCCAAGACGAATCGAGATAGATATAGACAAATGTATACATAAATGATCAGAATGAAAAAAGAAATCGATTAAGCCATGTCTGTCTGTCCGTCTGTCCGTCCGTCCGTCCACACGATAACTCGAGCAAAAATTGAGATATCTCAACGAAATTTGGTATGTAGGTTTCCCTTAATCCAAGGTAGGTTGGTATTGAAAATGGGCGAAATCGGACTTTAACCACGCCCACTTCCCATATAACGGTAATTTCCAGAAATACGAAAACTGCGATATTTTAGGAACAAATGAAGATAATTTACTCAAAATTGATATTTACAATAATTTTCAGACGAAAAATAAGAATATTATAAATTTTTGGAAAATGGGCGTAGCCACACCCACTAATGCTTACATGTGTATATCTTGGTAACCGCTGCACAAATTTCTTCCAAACTTGGCAAAGTTGTTGGCCTTGATACAGCATACTAAATAGCCGAAAATTTAAAAAAAATCGGACAATAACCACGCCCACATCCCATATAACGGTAATTTAGAGAAATACAAAATCTTCGATAAATCAGTAAATACTAAAGCTAATTTATTCAAAATTGATGCTTGCAACAATTCTTCACCAAGAAATACGTTTATGATATAATTTTGGAAAATGGGCGTGGCACCGCTCACTTATAATCACATATATGTATATCGGTAACCGTTCTACCAATTTGTACCAAACTCGGTATTTTTATTGTGCTTGCCACATAAAAGCAAAACATGGTAAATTTCAGAAATGCTTGAAACTGCGCTATTTCGAAATTTAAGGACGCTAATTTACTCAAAATTTATACACCCCGGCTTACCATCTAGCGGTAGCTTTCGGAAAGGTGAAAAAACATATATTTAATACTTGCGCCGGGTATTTAATGTTCGGCTCCACCCGAACTTAGACTTTCTTACTTGTTTAATTATAATTTTAATCAATTGTAATTAATTTTAATAAATAAATAGAAATAAAAAAATAAGTTAAAAACTTTTTAAAATTTCGTAAATTGCATTTTATTTACATAAAATTAACAAAGAACTCAAACAGTTTTAACCGACTTCAAAAAAGGGAGGTTATCAATTCTTCGGAGTATTTTTTTTCTTTTGTGTATGCCACCGCACAACTTTGGACTGTGAACCGATTTCAATAAGTCTTTTTTTATCGGAAAGAAAGTACATACCTTAAGGGTCGTCCCGTAATTTGGTTTAGATCCGATCATTGGATCATGAAAAAATTAACGGTAGTCCTAAAGTTGTATATGAGAATTGAAGTCCGTTGTGTTTTTTGCTTAAAACTAACTTGTTTAATAAAAAGTTCTATAAACACAAGAAGCGCTCATCTTGCAAAAGTAATAAAAAATGTTACAAGGCGAATTTATAAAAGGTGGTATTGTTTCATCAGCTGTGAGTAGCGTTGGATTGTCAAGATTTTATATTTCGCAAGTGAGTGGGTAAAAACGTGAGAGTGTTTGTATTTCCTGTCGCGCTTTTTCATTCAGGGAAGAATAGCTGAAATTTGACAATGGCCCGTTAAAAGCGAAAACAAAATACAAGTCATTGTTGTATTTGTTGAATCCATACCACCTTATATTTATTCGCCTTGAAATGTTACAAAAGAATTTTAATATAAATAAATTATTTATTTCCATGAAATTTTTGCACTTTTATGTTCATTTTCCTTGATTTCTGGTTTCTTATTCGATAGAGATGGTGATTTTTTACGATTGCCTTATTTTTTAACATTTGGAATACCGAAAAAATTAACTGAACTTGTATTTTTATTATGTAGCCTATTTTTGTAGAGCGAATGCGAAGTTGGCAAATTAAATCTTCGAATCCTTGTTAAGTACATATCAGTGGTAAACTCTTTTAGGCTGTAAAGTGTAAAAACAACAGTAACTGAGTATGATTGCATACTTTTAAGACAATGTTTTAGTAGTAGTTTGTAGTAAACTTTTAAGAGCTCTCAAGAAAAACGAAAAATTCATATAAAATGACGCACAAGAAATGGACAAGAAATTTTCTTCTATTGAAATTCAAGAAAAAAATGCTCGTATATTCATTTCTTCAAGTAGCTTTTTGAAGCAACAGAAATAATAAGAAATATTTCTTGTGGTTTTTCTTGAGAGCTGGACTCTAAGCTTTCAGATACAGTTGGTAATTGAGGTTATGTGCTTTGGAAGGAGTTTGAACCCCAAAACCCACCATTTGTGCGCACTAATGGATGACGGATCTATATATAAATACGCCACAAGAAATATTGAAATCCCTTTTTTGAAAGCACCGTTCGCTCGATTTCAATGAAACATATACCGATTTAAAGGATATAACTTCCTCTAATCCAGAAATGTTAATCCCGATACATAGGGGGCGTGGCATCTGACATATAGACTAAAATGTGAAAACCAAAAAATGTAAAACAGGGCGTGGTACCGCCCATACAAACTGAAATTTTTACATATATCGCTTATCTCTGGAACCACTTATGCTAACGTCCTGAAATTTGACACAGCTATTTATGATATCAATCACGTACTTATGGCAAAAAGTGGTAGATTTTGGAAAAGGGGGCGTGGCACCGACCATACAAACTGAAATTCTCATATCGCTTATCTCTGGAACCGCTTATGCTAACGTCCTGAAATTTGACACAGCTATTTATGATATCAATCACGTACTTATGGCAAAAAGTGGTAGATTTTGGAAAAGGGGGCGTGGCACCGACCATACAAACTGAAATTCTCATATCGCTTATCGCTGGAACAGCCTATGATAACGTCCTGAAATTGGACACAGCAACATATGTTGTCAATACCGTACTTTCGGAGAAGAGTGGTAGATTTTGGAAAAGGGGGCGTGGCACCACCCATACAAACTGAAATTCTTATATCGCTTATCTCTGGAACTACTTATGCTAACGTCCTGAAATTTAGCACAGCTATTTATGATATCAATTACGTATTTATGGCGAAAAGAAGTAGATACCAGGAAAGGGGGCGTGGCACCGCCCATATAAACTGAAATTCTTATATCGCTTAGCTCTGGAACCACTTATGCTAACGTCCTAAAAATTGACACAGCTATTTATGATATAAATCACGACCTTATGGCGAAAAGTGGTAGATTCTGGAAAAGGGGCTTGGCACCGACCATACAAACTGATATTCTTATCTCGCTTATCTCTGGAACCACTTATGCTAACGTCCTGAAATTGGGCACAGCAGCATATTTTGTCAATACCGTACTTATGGCGAAAAGTGGTAGATTTTGGAAAAGGGGGCGTGGCGCCGCCCATTTAAACTGAAATTCTCATATCGCTTATTTCTGGAACCGCCTATGCTAACGTCGTGAAATTGGACACAGCATCGTATGTTGTCAATACCGTACCTGTTGGAAACACCGTCACTGGCTAATCAATTCGCTTAAACTCATACTTGGTTTTCAGACCGCACAATAAACCTATCAGGCAACGCTTTAACTTCGTTTGTTTAAGCGCAACTAGGTAACCCTTTACTACTTCCTTTCACATATTACTTCCTTTTTGGTAAATTTCTTTTTCTTTTGCTTACGACTGAAAAAACGTGCGGTTGGGAAAACCAAATGTGAGTAAATTAAAATTAAATAATGAAATATTGAATACGAATCTAATTGTAACCTTTTTTGAAATAAAGCTTTTAAAGTCGTTTCACGAACTTATAAAATTGGTAGAACCAACAATCTTTAAAAGATTTGTGGTGCGATTTGTCGTTTGGAGGTTATAAACACCTGTTTGCCTGCTGTAAAACGTCCAACTAGTTAATATGGTGCGCACGATAGTAGGAACAGTAAATTGTGCTGTATGTCATGAGCCGGAGAACGAAGAAATGGTGCAGTGCGATGTGTGCGATGAGTGGACACATTTCATCTGTGCAGGAGTCTCTGAAGATATTGCTGACAAAGCATGGAGTTGCAAAAAGTGTGTTGCGGTAGCCACGTCAAATGTATCAAAAACACTTACTACACCAAATCAGCAGTTAACCGAACATGAAAAGCAAGGCCATGAAAAGGTAGGTGAAAATGATGATAGGGCAAGTAAGCAGGGCTCTGCGAAATCGAAGCGCAGTATGCATTATGAATTAGCTCTTTTAGAGGAGCGAAAAAAGGCAGAGCTATTATACTTAGAACGGAAATATAAGATTATGCGGAGATATGAAAGCTCAGAAGAGTCAGACGACGACACCGATTTGAATGCGCTGAAGGTGCATCGCACCGCTGAATGGGCAAGTGGCAAGGGTCAGGGCGAGATAGGTAGGGCTAAGGAAGGGCAGCTTGGAACAGGTGCTATGCACGATAGGGTAGTTACAGGCAGAGGGCGCAACGAGGCGCAAATGCAGGCACGCACAACGTCAGAAGTAAATGCTGGAGGCTTGAATGCGCAGCAAATTAGTTCGCGACACGTGGTGTCAAAAGATCTCCCTGTGTTTAGTGGCAAAGCAGAGGAGTGGCCTCTGTTTCTGAGCAGCTTTCAGAATTCCACGCGACTTTGTGGATTTACCCACGATGAAAATCTGCTTCGTTTGCAACGCGCTTTAAAAGGTAAGGCGCTTGAGTACGTTAGTAGTAAACTTATGATCCCCGAACTTGTACCCGAAATAATTTCCACGCTACGGATGATTTTTGGTAAACCAGAGCAAATAATAAACAGTCTCTTAGGGAAGTTACGCTCGTCTGCGCCTGTTAATGTAAATAAGCTCGATACTCTCATAACTTTCGCGCTTGAAGTAAAAAATGTAGCCGCTACTATGGAGGCATCAGGGCTCCAGTCCCATATGACAAATCCTGTGTTGATACAAGAACTAGTTGAAAAGTTGCCAGCTCAAATGCGCCTACAATGGGCAATGTTTTCTAGGCCGTCTTCAGACGCTAATCTGAAGGCGTTTAGCGATTGGCTGTTCGACTTGGCAGACGCTGCCAGCAACGTTACATCAGTTCTTTCTGCTAGCAATCCTGAGTCGGAGAAACGCAAAGCTCATCGGGTAAGTGTTCATGCGGAGGAGAAGAATGCTAGCAGAGAATTCGCCGAACGGGTTAAACCCAAATTATCATGCTATTTATGCAAAGAATCTCATGTTATTTTAAAATGCGATAAGTTCAAAAACTTAGGTTATGACGAAAAATGGAATGAGGTACGTAGGTTGCAGCTTTGTAGGTTATGTTTACGAAAACACGATGCGAGAAGCTGTCGTGAGAGGAAAGCATGCGGCGTGAACGGTTGCACCTACAAACATCACCCGCTTTTACACAAAACCTTCGATGCTCAAACAGCAATTGTGGCTCATCACAAAGAAGTAAGTAACACGCTTTACCGTGTTGTACCAATAACGATTTATGGAAGAGGCACGTCATGTGACGTTTATGCCCTTTTAGACGATGGATCCGGCCCAACTCTTATTGAGAAAAGTGTGTTGCAACGTTTGCAGGTGCAAGGTGCTAAAGCAGATTTGTGTCTTAAATGGACAGACGGCACGGTACGTGTACAGCGGGACTCCGATTGGATCGATTTAGATGTATCGCCGCGTGGGAAGCAAAAGAGGCTTACTCTGCGTAACGTACGCTCCGTGGATGCGCTTGATCTTCCACTTCAAACAATGGATATTACGGAGCTTGCAGGATTACATAAACATCTAAGGGGAATTCCAGTTGAGTCATACCGCAACGTTGTGCCACAATTAATAATTGGATTAAGCAACAAAAATGTGATGATGCCACTTAAGTTTCGTGAAGGCAAAGCGCATGAGCCAGCTGCCACCAAAACCCGCCTTGGATGGACCGTTTATGGTGTCATAAATACCGACGAACAACAGAACGTTGACAATATGCAGCTACATGTTTGTGAGTGTGATGACGATGTAGCCTTGCAAAAGTTGGTCACAGAGTACATGTCCCTGGAGAAAAATTGTAATGACCGGGAAAATAATCAGTTTCAAAGTACAGAGTTAAATGAAATGCGAGGCAACGTTAAGCGCAAGGGAGAACACTTCGTAGCAAAGCTGCTATGGAAGTCGGAGAGCACTACTATGCCAGACAACTATCCCGTGGCTTTGCGTAGACTCACATGCTTCGAGAGAAAGTTAGAATCGTCTCCCGATCTTAGGTTACTTGTAAATGAACATATTCGCTCAATGGAGGAAAAGGGGTACATTCGCAAATTAAGCACAAGCGAGATTTCCGCCTATCATCCTCGGAAGTGGTATTTGCCAATATTTGCGGTGCGAAATCCAAATAAACCACAGAAGGTCAGAATAGTGTGGGATGCAGCTGCGGAGTACAAAGGGCTCTCCTTGAATTCATGCCTGGACAAGGGCCCAGACTTATTGACCTCTCTCTTTGATGTTTTACTTAATTTCCGGATAGGGAAAATTGGGTTGTGTGGCGATATCTGCGAAATGTTTCACAGAGTGCACATCGATGAAGAAGATCAGCAGTCGCAGCGTTTCCTGTGGAGAAACTGTGAGGATGCTCGTCCACCAGATGTCTACATGTTGTTAGTGATGAGTTTTGGGGCAAGCTGTTCGCCATCCCTAGCTCAAGTTGTGAAAAATTTAAACGCTTTAGAGTTCGCCGATACGCACCCAAAAGCAGCTAAAAGTATTTTGGAGAGGCATTACGTCGATGATATGCTCGACAGCGTTGATACGATTGACGAAGCGGTTCAATTGGCTACGAGTGTTCGTGCGATCCACAAGCACGCAAATTTTCATATTCGAGGTTGGCTATCCAACTCCAAAGATGTCGTCGAAGCCTTAGGGGAAGCAGGCGATGCACGCGAATTTTGTGGCGCTGCCAAACGAGTAGATCAGGTAGTTGAAGCAAGTAAGGTGCTAGGCATGTGGTGGCAGACGTCTGATGACACACTCACATACAATTTGAAATTCACGAAGGCCAACGATGAAATTCTGCGAGGAGCTAAGCTTCCAACAAAGAGGGAGCTGTTAAGATTGCTGATGTCTATATTTGACCCGTTGGGGCTATTAACCTTTTTCTTAATCGACGCTAAAATTTTACTTCAGAAGGTATGGCGAAGTGGTATTGGATGGGACGATTCTATACCGGAGCAGTTGTCAGGTGAGTGGATGAAGTGGTTATCCTTTCTTCCACAAGTTCAAAATATGAAGGTGCCCAGATGCTATTTCAGTATAGCGAGCAGCCAAGCAAGCAATATCGAGCTGCATGTATTTGTAGACGCTGGCGAAAACGCTTACGCCGCGGTAACGTATCTGAGGATCGGGACAGGTGAGGACGTCGAAGTATCGTTGGTGTGTTCCAAATCGAAGGTCGCACCTTTGCGCCCTGTATCTATACCTCGAATGGAGCTGCTCGCTGCGGTGATGGGTGCGAGGCTAGGGAATGCGGTGGTAAAAGCACTCGACAGCAAAATCGATCGTGTGCGCTATTGGACGGACTCCAAAACCGTTCTCTCGTGGTTGCGCTCCGAACCTAGAGGATATAAGCAATTCGTTATGTTTCGAGTGGGAGAAGTGCAGGAGTCTACCGATATATCACAGTGGAGCTACGTGCCTTCGAAATTGAACGTCGCCGACTTAGGAACGAAGGCGACCCCAGTACCTGATTTTTCGATGGCTGGACAATGGATCTCCGGACCTGCGTTCCTCCGTCAGTCAGTTGAGACATGGCCAAGCTTTGAAAGCAATCAACAAGAAGATGGACAGCACGAGCATGGGGAACTACGACCAGAACTAGTCTCAATTAATGTAGTAGAAGATCAGCCTTTGATAGATCTTAGCCGTTTTTCAAAATGGGAACGCCTACACCGAAGTGTGGCGTACGTTAAGCGATTTGTAAATAAGTTAGGTGGCATCCCTATTAGAGGTAGCCTTAGCACCGACGAGTTAGCCTGGAGCGAGACCTATTTATATCGCCTTGCCCAAGCCCAAGCCTTTCATAAAGAAATTAAAATGCTGCGTCAGAACCCAGCATGCTCCATGCCTAAAACAAGCCCTATACGTAAACTCTCGCCGTTTTTAGACCAGAAAACGACAGTAAGAATGCGCAGTCGACTAGAAAGAGCAGATTTTATAAGTAATGATATGAAAAACCCAATCATACTACCGAAAGTGCATATGATCACTAGACTGATAGTCGACTGGTATCATAGAAAGTGGAAACATTCAAACCATGAGACCGTAATCAATGAACTGTTTCAGAAGTTCTACATACCAGGGTTGAGAACGTTATTACGGTCGGTGCGAAAACATTGTCAAGTGTGCAAGATTAACGAGGCTCGTCCGCATTCACCCGAGATGGCCGACCTGCCTGAAGCACGGTTGTCGCCCTACACCCGACCGTTCACCCACGTAGGGGTGGATTTTTTTGGACCTTTCTTGGTTACCATCGGAAGGCGCACTGAAAAGCGCTATGGTGTGGTGTTTACATGTATGACGTGCCGCGCGGTGCACGTCGAAATGGCATACAGCCTGACCACCAGCTCCTGTTGTATTGTTGTGCGCAACTTCATCGCACGAAGAGGGACTCCGAGACAGTTCTTTAGCGACAACGGAACAAATCTGAGAGCGACGGAAAAAGAGCTGCGAGAATCGCTATCGCAAGTTGACTTTGCAGGCCTAGAAGCTGAGTTTACCAACACGTACACCAAATGGACATTCATTCCACCCGCAACGCCTCATATGGGAGGGGCATGGGAGCGCATGGTGCGCTCTATAAAGGTGGTTATGTACCAGATTGTGACGCCTGCAACAAGAATGTCCAATGAAAGGCTCCAAAACCTGTTCCTCGAGGTGGAACAAATAGTAAACAGCCGACCTTTAACGTATCTGGCCCTCGACACTGCCGACCAAGAGGCACTAACACCCAACCATTTCCTGCTGGGCTCATCGTCGGGTCTCAAACCAGTTGGGAATTTTAAAAGTGCGGACCAATTTGCTCGCGCCTCGTGGCGACACTCTCAGCACCTCGCAGAAATGTTTTGGAAGAGATGGGTGGCAGAAGTTTTACCCATGCTAACACGAAGAACCAACTGGTTCGAAAAAGCCAAGCCGATTGAAGTTGGAAACGTAGTCGTCATTGTCGACCCAAACTCACCACGCTATTCCTGGCCAAAAGGCGTCGTCGTATCTACAATACCAGGAAAGGATGGCCAGGTCAGAAGTGCCATCGTTCGAACTACGCAGGGACAGTATCATCGGCCAGCAACGAAATTAGCCGTATTGGACGTATCTCGAGCCGGTGTTTAAATGTACAGGGGTATTCCTTCATGAGGGAGATACCGGGGGGAGAATGTTGGAAACACCGTCACTGGCTAATCAATTCGCTTAAACTCATACTTGGTTTTCAGACCGCACAATAAACCTATCAGGCAACGCTTTAACTTCGTTTGTTTAAGCGCAACTAGGTAACCCTTTACTACTTCCTTTCACATATTACTTCCTTTTTGGTAAATTTCTTTTTCTTTTGCTTACGACTGAAAACACGTGCGGTTGGGAAAACCAAATGTGAGTATATTAAAATTAAATAATGAAATATTGAATACGAATCTAATTGTAACCTTTTTTGAAATAAAGCTTTTAAAGTCGTTTCACGAACTTATAAAATTGGTAGAACCAACACCGTACCTATGGCGAAAAGTGGTGGGTTCTGGAAGAGGGGGCGCGGCACCGCCCATACAAACTGAAATTCTTATATCGCTTATCTCTGGAGCCGTGCTAACGTGTTGAAATTTGACACAGCTATTAATGATATCAATCACGTACTTATGGCGAAAAGTGGTAGATAATGGGAAAGGGGGCATTGCACCGGTCATACAAACTGAACTTCTCATTGCGTATCTCTGGAACCGCTGATGCTAACGTCTCGAAATTTGACACAGCAACATTTGTTGTCAATACCGTACTTATGGCGAATAGTAGTAGATTCCGGAATAGGGGGCGTGGCACCGCCCATATAAACTGAAATTATCACATCGGTTATCTCTGGAACCACTTATTTAAGGTAATGTAGATATTATATATACCTACATTCAATTGGGAACCATTTTCTCCCAGATTTTAAAATCGCGTTGAATGATTGTTGTTTTGTGCAAAAATTTTAGAAGGATTAGTGGTTTGTCTTCCGATACGTAGCGTAGGGATTGAGAACTATCCTTCATATTTATGATCATATTTGTTTCACTTTTAGAACTCATATTAGTAACATAAAATTTGGTATAACCTGGTAGCCCAGTCGTGTGATGAGAAGATATTGGGCTGTGGCCCAGTCTTGACAAAAACCCGTGTGAAACCGCCGTTAGAGAAAGAAATATTATATTTTGTTGCAAACCTTCCAGATACTCTCTCAGCCGTTAACGATTATGATTAAAAAAAGAAAGAGTTTATGCAGATGAGGGCAATTTAGTTTTTAACCTCCAAGTGGCTCTCACACAAATATAATCGAAAAACTTATTTACAGTCTGAATTGGTATATGTTTGATGTCAGTGACGAACATCTATCTATATTGTTTATAAATGAAAATCGAGGTTCCTTTTTCGGTTTAATTTCAAAAGCAACTGAAAAACTTTGGAGGAGACCTTGTAGAATTAGCATTAATCAATCCGGCATTAACGGTCATAATTCGATTTTCAGTTTTCCTGTAAAACACTATAAATTATGCTGGTGGACTTTAAAATAGTAATTCGCATAAAGGAGTTCGTATTGGTGACACTAGTATATTAAAAAGACGCAATATGCATATTTTACATTTAGTAGAAAATTGCAGTTAAAAAAAGTACTTACATTATTAAGTAAATAATAAATTTCATACAAATAAATTGGGGGAAATTTTAAGCTACAAAACCGGTGCATTAGGTCATGATACTTCTGGACATTTATTCGGACGATGTTGAAATCATTCAAAATCTGGCCAGATGTGTAATTTTTAAGTGCCTTTGAAAACTAAATACTAAAAGCATTTTTATACACGTAAGAAAAATATAATTTATGAAGGAATTGTCAAAATGTGTATATAGACTTTTAAATCAAAGAAAAGGAGCAAAAGTCGCATGATTTTGGGAAAAATTTAAAAATAAATCTATTTTTAAAAAGTCGGTATCAGGGAGCATTGATCTCGAAAAAGTATCAATTTGACACTTTGGCCGCACAACGGTAAAACTGACCCGTAGGAATGGGGTAATTCGCGATAGTAATTGGGGAAATGAGGAAAGTAATTAAAAGTGCAGTGGGAAAATAGTATAAGCGATTTTGGCCGAGTCCAAAATAACACGCCAGTCGTTTCTCTGCTGTGCCATCTGACGCCAATTGGAAATGCCAAGTGAAGCCAAGTCCTTCTCCAAAAGCATCGCGATCCGCATTGTATACTTTCAGAGCTGGAGCCTTTCAGTTCATCCGAAACACATGACCTAGTCAGCGTAGCAGCTGGATTTTAATTCGCTGCACTAAATCTATAATATCAAATAAAACACCTCTTTGAGGTAAAATTTTCGAGTGACGAAAGCTGAACTAGAAACACAAAATTTATGATATAAATTTCATAAAAAAATTATAAATAAATATTCATACGAATCGTTGCAAAAGTTCTGTTTTTTATTTTGGGTTTCTAGCAGTAGAGAAAATTTCGCAACGTTCCGAATAAATAAAAAAGATTTTCCGTACGCAGTTAAAAAATTAGTATAATTTTCGTCACGAAATTTATATCATAAATTTTGTGTTTCTAGGTCAGCTTTCGTCACTCGAAAATTTTACCTCAAAGAGGTGTTTTATTTGATATCAATTATTTTGGTGTAGCAAATTTAAAATCGACCAAAATACAAACAAAAATCTAAATGTTTTATTTTTCTCAAATAAATTGCTAAAAATGTTATCTAAATCTGAATTATGTATTCAAATCGATGTGTCCATTGAAACATATAATTTTTCGAATACGGAATAAAGCGAAAAAGAATGATCATATCCTTTGTATTCGAAAAATTAAAAAAAAAAATTATTTGAAATGATAAAAACTTATCAACTTGGTACCAACTTTGGATACAATAAACAACTGTATTCGTCTAATTGCTTCGTAGTTTAATTGTTGTTACGATTTCTACGGGGTGTGGGGCGCACACATGTGCTTTTTTAAGAAGTTTTACTGCTATCACGTGTACGGTGTTGCACTCGTGCTATTAAACTAATGTTTTTTCTCAAGTAGTTTTACTCAGTGGCAATTTATAAATTTTATGTAAGTAGGAGAGGCACATTGTCGGCCGCTGTGGTGTAGTGGTAAGCAGCACATGGATTCAAGCCCTGGTCAAAGCAACATCGAAAAAAAATATAGCAAAAAGGTTTTTTCTTAACAGCGGTCGTCCCTCGGCAGGCAATGGCAAACCTCCGAGTGCATTTCTGCCATGAAAAATAGCTTCTCATAAAAATACAATCGCCATTCGGAGTCGGCGTAAAACTGTAGGTCCTTCCGCTTTGTGCAACAATATCAAGGCGCACGCAACCAATCGGAGGAGAAGCTCGGCCAAACACTAACATATGTGTAAGCGCCAATCTATTATTTATTATTATTAGTAGCAGCACATTGGGTGAACTAAATGCATTCCTACATACATATTTATGTACAACTGTAGGTAATATTGTATGAGTCTTCATACCTGGGAAGTGCGGGTGATAAACCTAGCACAGTTAAATACTGTGTACATACCTACAATTAAAATGGTGAAAAATATTACAATTTCGGCATGCGACTGGGAAAAAAAAAACACAAATTGTGGTTTCCAAGACATGTACTAAGTGATTAGCACAGCTGCATTCTTCAACTTGTCAACTCGCGGGAAATTTCCCGATTTGCAGGGAATTTCGATTTAAGTGGCAATCGGGGAATGGGCACTTTTTTCGGGGAACTGGGTATGTTATTTTTATATCTTAAAGTAACCAAATTAGACGAATATGTTAATTTTTAACCATTTCACCATTTTTGGAGCGATATTTTTTCAATTTGAATCGCAATATCTCCACAACAAGAGTTTTCCCAGATATAAGCTAAATATATACCAAATAAAAGCTAAGGTTTTGGGCTAGACTTGCGGAAACCTAGAATAAAATCGACTGACAAGTTTTTGGGAAAATGCCCGAAATCTCTATTTTCAGCAGCCCGATCTTTAGTTTTCAGGCGATAACGTTATGACATATTTATATTTTATAAACGCAAAAGACTGCGTTATGTAGCTTGTTTTAAGACCCTCCTACTGATATCCACTTCAATGGTATGGAATCAGTGGTGCGACCACAGTGGTACTTGAAAAATTGCCTTTTTCCGAATTTCAGGCACCAGCCACGCCCACAAAGGCCTACGAATCGAAAACTCCTGGAGCAAAACCTTCCTATTNAAAACTGTAGGTCCTTCCGCTTTGTGCAACAATATCAAGGCGCACGCAACCAATCGGAGGAGAAGCTCGGCCAAACACTAACATATGTGTAAGCGCCAATCTATTATTTATTATTATTAGTAGCAGCACATTGGGTGAACTAAATGCATTCCTACATACATATTTATGTACAACTGTAGGTAATATTGTATGAGTCTTCATACCTGGGAAGTGCGGGTGATAAACCTAGCACAGTTAAATACTGTGTACATACCTACAATTAAAATGGTGAAAAATATTACAATTTCGGCATGCGACTGGGAAAAAAAAAACACAAATTGTGGTTTCCAAGACATGTACTAAGTGATTAGCACAGCTGCATTCTTCAACTTGTCAACTCGCGGGAAATTTCCCGATTTGCAGGGAATTTCGATTTAAGTGGCAATCGGGGAATGGGCACTTTTTTCGGGGAACTGGGTATGTTATTTTTATATCTTAAAGTAACCAAATTAGACGAATATGTTAATTTTTAACCATTTCACCATTTTTGGAGCGATATTTTTTCAATTTGAATCGCAATATCTCCACAACAAGAGTTTTCCCAGATATAAGCTAAATATATACCAAATAAAAGCTAAGGTTTTGGGCTAGACTTGCGGAAACCTAGAATAAAATCGACTGACAAGTTTTTGGGAAAATGCCCGAAATCTCTATTTTCAGCAGCCCGATCTTTAGTTTTCAGGCGATAACGTTATGACATATTTATATTTTATAAACGCAAAAGACTGCGTTATGTAGCTTGTTTTAAGACCCTCCTACTGATATCCACTTCAATGGTATGGAATCAGTGGTGCGACCACAGTGGTACTTGAAAAATTGCCTTTTTCCGAATT